CAAGTTTCAGAGGAACAGCCGTGTTAGTCTGTATTCGCAAAAAAGAAAAGGAGTACTTGTGGCACCTTAGAGACTAACCAATTTATTTGAGCATGAGCTTTCGTGAGCTACAGCTCACTTCATCAGATGTTTACCGTGGAAACTGCAGCAGACTTTATATACACACAGAGAATATGAAACAATACCTCCTCCCACCCCACTGTCCTGCTGGTAATAGCTTATCTAAAATGATCAACAGGTGGGCCATTTCCAGCACAAATCCAGGTTTTCTCACCCTCCACCCCCCCCACACAAATTCACTCTCCTGCTGGTGCTAGCCCATCCAAAGTGACAACTCTTTACATAATCAAGTCGGGCTATTTCCTGCATAGATCCAGGTTTTCTCACATCCCCCCCACCCCCATACACACACAAACTCACTCTCCTGCTGGTAATAGCTCATCTAAACTGACCACTCTCCAAGTTTAAATCCAAGTTAAACCAGAACATCTGGGGGGGGGGGGTAGGAAAAAACAAGAGGAAACAGGCTACCTTGCATAATGACTTAGCCACTCCCAGGCTCTATTTAAGCCTAAATTAATAGTATCCAATTTGCAAATGAATTCCAATTCAGCAGTTTCTCGCTGGAGTCTGGATTTGAAGTTTTTTTGTTTTAAGATAGCGACCTTCATGTCTGTGATTGCGTGACCAGAGAGATTGAAGTGTTCTCCGACTGGTTTATGAATGTTATAATTCTTGACATCTGATTTGTGTCCATTTATTCTTTTACGTAGAGACTGTCCAGTTTGACCAATGTACATGGCAGAGGGGCATTGCTGGCACATGATGGCATATATCACATTGGTGGATGTGCAGGTGAACGAGCCTCTGATAGTGTGGCTGATGTTATTAGGCCCTGTGATGGTGTCCCCTGAATAGATATGTGGGCACAATTGGCAACGGGCTTTGTTGCAAGGATAAGTTCCTGGGTTAGTGGTTCTGTTGTGTGGTATGTGGTTGTTGGTGAGTATTTGCTTCAGGTTGCGGGGCTGTCTGTAGGCAAGGACTGGCCTGTCTAGGGCGTTCCTGCCAGAGATCCGTTTCCAGACATAATTCAAAGCCTCAGGTGGTATTCGACCACTACCGCAAAGAGATGTCTGAGTCTCCTTGGACATGGGGTAGGGCATGCCAGAACGAAGCTCAGACCCCTTCAAGTGTGGCTCACCCAGATATACCGCCCAGGGCGTGACAGGCTGGACTCGGTAGTTACGGGGTGCCACGACACATACTCGAGCCCCTACATTTGTGGCTCAACCCTCAGATGGTATGCGAGGGTGTCCCCTTCAACAGCTCACCGCCCTACTTGTCCCAACTAACGGACGCATCAGGTCTGGGTTAGGGGGCACATCTAGGAGATCTCTGAACACAGGGCCTGTGGTCGCAGGATGAGCTTTCCCTTCATAACAATATCAGGGAGCTCAGAGCAGTGCGACTGGCATGCCAAACTTTCCAGTCCTGCCTGCAAGGCCAAAGCATGGCAGTGATGATGGACAACACCACTGCTATGTTCTACATCAACAAACAGGGTGGAGCCTGTTCCTCCCCCCATGTCGAGAAACCCTCCAAGTAGGGGTGTTCTGCATAGCCCACTCCGTTCACCTGGAGGCGTCCTATCTCCAAGGAGCACAGAACGAGCTAGCGGGTTGTTCTGCAACCACGAATGGTCCGTCCATCCAGGTGTTCTTCATCCAATTTTCCAAAAGTAGGGATTTCCCCAGGATTCGCCACCTGGAGCAACAGGAAGTGCCCAGTGTTCTACTTCTTCCAGAAACACAGCCTGGGTTCAACTACGGATGCGTTTCTGCTACCCTGGGAGACCGCCTCATGTACGCCTTCTCACAGGTCCCACTCATACACAAGGTGCTGCTCAAGATCCACAGAGACAAAGCGGAGGTGACTCTACTGGCCCCAGCCTGGCCCATCAACACTGGTATACCACGCCTCTGGAGCTGTCAGTGGACACCCCAGTTGTGTTACCACTCTGCCCCCCTCTGATCACGCAGGACCACGGCCACCTCCACCACCCAGCCCTCCACCTTACAGCTTGGAAGCTTTATGGTTAAACCCCATGGAGCTCTTATTCTTGAAGCTGGTAAGGGAGGTTCTACTCGGCAGCAGGAAACCATCCACCAGGGCTACTTATCTAGCCAAGTGGAAGAGATTCACTTGCTGGTGTGCCCAGCAACACACACCTCCACTCTAGGCGTCTATAACACTCATCCTGGACTACCTTCTGCGTCTCAAACTGCAGGGTCTAGCTGCGGCATCCGTCAAGGTGCATCTTGCTGCTATCTCAGCCTTCCACCTGGGAGCGTCTGGACTCTCTGTCTTCGCCAACCCCATGATAGGACATTTCCTCAAGGGCTTGGCAGACCTATATCCACAGATTAGACAACCCGTTACCTCATGGGACCTTCACCTCATCTTCTCCAGGCTCATGGGGCCCCCTTTTGAACCACTGGTGACTTGCTCCCTGCTCTATTTGTCGTGGAAGGTAGCCTTCCTGGTTGCCATCACGTAAGCCAGGCGGGTGTCCGAATTAAACGCTCTGACCTCTTGCCCACGCTACACGGTCTTTCACAAGGACAAGGTGCAGCTTGGGCCTCACCCAGCCTTCCTTCCCAAAGTAGTGTCACAATTCCACACTTGTCAAGACATTTTTCTACCCGTCTTCTATCCTAAGCCTCACACCAGTTACCCAAGAGCAGAGGCTGCACTCACTGGATGTTCAGAGAGCACTAACATTCTACATCGAGCACATGAAACTGTTCAGGAAGTCGAACCAACTGTTCGTGGCGGTAGCAGACCAGATGAAAGGACTCCCGGTCTCATCTCAAAGAATATCTTCCTGGATCACTTCCTGCATCTGCACATGTTATGAATTAGCCAGCGTCCCATCCCCAACTCTCATGGCACATTCCACAAGGGCACAAGCCTCAGCTGTGTTCCTGGCCCAGGTCCTAAGACCAGAGATCTGCAGGGCAGCAATTTGGTCATCGGTGCATACGTTTACCTCTCACTATGCTATCCCCCAACACTCCAGAGATGATGCAGCATTCGACAGGGCGGTGCTTCAAGCAGCTATTCCTTAACTCTGACCCCACTTGAGGGGTAGAGCTTGGGAGTCACCTGATTGGAATCAATGTGAACAAGTACTTGAAGAAGAAAAAATGGTTACTCCTTCGGGTAACTGTTGTTCTTCGAGATACCTTGTTCACGTCCATTCCAATACTCATCCTCCTTCCCCTCTGTCGGAGCAGACAGCAAGAAGGAACTGAAGGGGGGTCGGGTTGGCAGGGTCATATATTGAGCGCCATGATGGTGCCACTCCAGGGGGCTCACAGCCGACCCGAAGGGAGCTGCTAAGGGAAAACTTTTTGATGACCGTGCACACAGCGCGCCCACACCTGATTGGAATGGATGTGAACAACACATCTCGAAGAACAACAGTTACGAGAAGGTGAGTAACTGTTTGTTTGGTTTTTTTGTCCCCAGTACATTCCAAAAACCTTTTTGGAAATTTTGTCTTTTGCTGTAGTATTTTCTCAACAGATGACTGGGTAGCTAAAGTTCCCCATTACTACAACATCCTGTGTTTTGGATATTTCTATTAATTGTTTTAGAAATGTCCAGTCCATCTCCTCTTCCTGGTTTGGTGGTCTACAATAGACCCCTCACCATGACATCACCTCTATTTTTAACATTATTTTATTTTTACCCAGAGACTCTCAACTGGTCTGTCTCCCACCTCCTTCTGGACCTCAGAACAACTGTATATATCCTTTATGTACAATGCAACCCATCCTACCTTTTCCCCCGCCTGTCTTTTCTGAACAAGCTATACTTCTATATACAAATATTCCAGTCATGAAATTTAGCCCACAAAGTCTCTGTGATGCTAGTTAAATCAGAATTTAGCTTATGTACTAACACTTCCAGTTCTTCCTGTTTGTTCCCCATACTCCTTGCATTTGTGCGCAGACATCTAAAATGTTGGTCAGATTTCCCCCACTGATTTCCTTTTCTTGCTCCTTTGACCCTATTGTAATTGTCCATGCCTCCCCCAACTCGGTTAAGGTCACCTATTTTTATACTTACCTGTGGACTTTTGTCACTTGCCCCCATTGAACCTAGTTTAAAGCCCTTTTCGCTATGTTGGCAAGTCGATACACGAAGATGCTCTTCTCCTTCTTGGTCAGGTGGACCCCATCTCTTCCTAGCAGAGCTTTTTCCTGGAACAGCATCCCATGGTTGAAGAAGCCAAAGTCCTCTTGCAGACGCCATCTGCACAGCTGTGCATTCATCTCCAGGATGTCCCCCTGCCTGGGCCCTTACCCTCAACTGGGAGGATGGACGAGAACACACGCTGCACCCCGACTCCTTCTCCCTCACTCCTAGAGCCCTATAGTCACAGCTGATCTGCTCAGGGTCAGACCTGGCAGTATCATTAGTGCCCACATGGATGAGCAGTATAGGGTAGTGATCAGAAGGATGCATGAGCATCTGCAACTTTCTGTGGCATCTCAGAGGAGGGCTCCAGCCAGGCAGCACACCTCACGGGATATCATGTCAGATCGGCAAATGGATGCCTGTATTCCCTCAGAACTGAGTCCCCATCCACCATCACAATAGATCTCCTCTTCTCGGGTGCAGTGGCAGTGAGCTTCCGGTGAATGGCAGCTCCTCCTCAGCCATTAGTATCTGCTCTTTACCTCCTGTTGCCAGTACAGCATGCCAGTTCTTGACCTCTATGGATAGGGGACCCAGGGTGGAGCACTTTCTGCGAACCGAGGTGGTCAGCAGCCAGTTTCCTCCTCACGAAGCAGCCAATTCTCCCATCTCCTCTTGTGTTGCTGCTTATGGTTATGAAATGTTTTAATACGATACAGTACATTACATTAGTACAGTACATGTACTAATGAAAATTGATCAGCTTTATCTTTGATTTCGTTAATTGTTAGGTGGTATTTTGGGTGCGGCAGATCTCTCAGTGCCAAATGGAGCTGGTACCAGTCCAGTGGGTAAGTAGAGTACCACGGTTTATTTGAACTTTGTGCATTCACTTATGAGTGATTTCTGATTCGGACTAGTTTAAAAAAAAAAAAGTATGAGTGTCTTTGCATCAGAACAGAAGTAAGCTGATGGTTTGATCGGTCGTCTTTCCTCTCTCTATATAAAAAAACACTTGCCTTTTCAGCCTGTAAATTGCATTTTTCACTTTACTGTATTGTGAACTGCATGTTTAACTTCCTTTATTTTCCCATTCCAGGTAATTACTAGTATTTCCATGAGTTTCACAGTAGTATTTGCTGCTTTTGCTTTAATGTGTCTCCCCCCCGCACCCCTTCCCTTCAAGATCTTGCACTGGAACCATAAATATTTTGCTGAGCATAAATTCTCATGGAACTTAAGGAGCCCATCAGCCGAGCTTCAGTACCTGGAAAGATACTGGAACAAATTATTAAACAGTTTGTAAGCATCTAGAGGATAATAAGGTGATCCATAGTAGCCAACATGGATTTGTCAAAAATAAATCATGCTAAACCCACCAAATTTCCTTCTTTGACAGAGTAACTGGCCGGTTGGATGGGGGAAAGCAGTAGATATGGTTATAGCTTGACTTTGTATGGCTATTGACACAGTCCCATGTGACATTCTCATAAGCAAACTAGATCTAGATTAAATTACTATAAGGTGGGGAAATGATGGTTGAAGAAACATGCTCAGAGTAGTTATCAATGGTTTGCTGTCAAACTGGGAGGACATATCAAATGGGGTACCGCAGTGGTCAGTTCCAGTGCTGTTTAATATTTTCATTAATGACTTGGATGAAGGAGCAGAGAGTACACTTCTGTAAAATTTGCAGATAACACCAAGCTGGGAGGGGTTGAAAGGACAGGATTAGAATTCAAAATGATCTTAATAAATTAGAAAATTGGTCTGAAATCAATTACAATGTTATTCGCAAAAAAAAAGGAGTACTAGTGGCACCTTAGAGACTAACCAATTTATTTGAGCATAAGCTCACGAAAGCTTATGCTCAAATTAATTGGTTAGTCTCTAAGGTGCCACTAGTACTCCTTTTCTTTTTGCGAATACAGACTAACGCGGCTGCTACTCTGAAACCTACAATGATATTCTATAAAGACATGCAAAGTATTTTATCTTTCATAAATAAAAACTAGGGAATAACTGGTGAGGTAGTGGTACAGCAGGAAAAAATGTGGGGATAATAGTGGATCAAAAATTGAATTAATCGACAGTGTGATGCTGTTGCAAAAAGGGTAAGTGTCATTCTGGGATGTATTAACAGGAGTGCTGTATGTAAGACATGGGAGGTAATTGTTCCACTGTACTTGGTTCTGGTGAGGCCTCCACTGGAATACTGTGTCCAGTTTTGGGCACCAGTTTAAGACGTGGACAAATGGGTGAGAGTCCGGAGGAGGACAACAAAAATTATTAGGAATTTTAAAAACCTGCCCTATGAGGAAAACTTAAAAAAGCTGGGCATGTTTAATCTTGAGGGAAAAAAGACCCAGGGGGGAAATAATCTTCAATATGTTTTAAGGGCTGTTATAAAAGGGATGGCAATATAAAAGGGATGTTCGCCATATCCACAGAGGGTGAGACGAAGTAATCAGCTTAACTTTGCAGCAAGAAAGATTTAGATTAGATATTAGGAAAAACTTTCTAACTATAAAGATAGTAAAATACAGAGATGCGTTACTTAAGGAGGTTGTGGAATCCCTGTTATTGGTGAGTTTTAAGAACAGATTAGACAAATATCTATAAGGGATGGTCTAGATATACTTAATTCTGCATCAGCACAGTGGGATGGACTAGACTAGATGACCTCTTGAGTTCCCTTTCAGCCCTACATTTTTATGATTCTATGGAGCTCCTTTAAACCAGGGTGCCCCAAATTAGTAATATTTAACAACAAATACTGTAGTGATGTTCTACATTCCTAAGAGTTTCTTACTTGCATAAAATATAACACAGTCTTCAGATTTATGCAGTAATGGCATGGAGACATCCAGGTTCCATTCTATCATATTCCAGGAAGGCAACATAAATACCAATCATCTGGCTCCCTGGTTCTTTCGTCTCAAGATTTGATTTGGTGGCTGAGGACCAATTTGGGAATATACTTGGTCAGCCTCAGAATGAGAACATAGCAAGAGTTATCAATCAGGGAAACTACTGGAGATACTCACATAAGTAATGGCCAAATAATAATCTGGCAACTGGGAAAAATCTTCCCAGATAAAAATCAGAGCTTAAGATGTTTATAAATGAGTAGTGCTTAAATTAGTAGGGTAAAAGTGCTGGTTTGCCTCTCCACTCTGCCTCCACCTTGGGCCACATGCAACAAATGTTTCCTTCACACAGAAGCACAAGAAATTCTCTGATAAAAGAAACCTTTTAATTTAGGGAGTAAATGAAGAGCAAGGTCATCATTAAACACGGTGGGATCCCAGATGGTGATTTCTTGTGTGTTTCAGAGATCAGCTTATTAAGAAAAGGACCTGCTTATAAACAGTCCTATGTTATGAGGACTAGATTCAGTCCTTTTTTCCAAAATTAGGCCCCAAGTTTCTGAGCTTCATTCATGCACTCAGCAAAAAGCAGTGTAGCATAGCTATGCTACACTAAGAGCCATATCGTATTATAGGTACCACTTCTTCAGTGTTATAGATACTACAGATGTGAATTAGAAATTGCCCTTAAGCAAAAGCAGTATACTACGTTAAAGTATTGCATATACCCACATCAACTTCATGAACATTCTTAATAACTTAGTGTTTTCTGATTTGATCCTACAGTAAACATTTTAGGAGCTGGTGTATGGTAACAAATTATAGTGGTGATCATCTTTACTTTCCAGAATATATCCCCCCACTACTCAGAAGTTTTTCACTCAAATGACAGTTGAAACTACATGATGATTCTACAACTCTTGTGTTTGTTCTTTGCAAAATATATCTCCAGTTGGCAGTTAGCAGACTGTGTACATTAACTGCAAACTAATTCATACAGTGTAAAATGTGTTGGTGACCCAATTCCAGTGCTTGTGATCGCTAGAAACTGCAAGCCTTTTCTTCTGATGGGAAAAGAACAAAATGTCACCAGATGCCATGGTGAAGGTTAAAAGAAATTAAAAGAAAAATGAGGTGCAGTTCACATTTGCTGTGCAAATCTGGCAGATGTTTGAGATGACCAAGCACTTGTCCTGTGTTTAATATGGTTCCAATGTAAATCTAATAGTGGTGTGTCAGTAAAATGAAGGAAGTACATGGAAAACTAGGAGCCATACTTGAGGCCAAATAAAGCATTAAAATTTGCTGTAGAGAAAAGCCAGGTTTTGAAAGGGTTTCTCTGCTTCACTCTTAGGCTGATAGCATTCAGATTTGAAAGCTGTCAGAAAAATAAAAAGAAAAGGAGTACTTGTGGCACCTTAGAGACTAACCAGTTTATTTGAGCATAAGCTTTCGTGAGCTACAGCTCACTTCATCGGATGCATACTGTGGAAAGTGTAGAAGATCTTTTTATATACACACAAAGCATGAAAAAATACCTCCTCCCACCCCACTCTCCTGCTGGTAATAGCTTATCTAAAGTGACCACTCTCCTTACAATGTGTATGATAATCAAGGTGGGCCATTTCCAGCACAAATCCAGGGTTTAACAGGTCTGGGGGGGGGGGGGGGGTAGGAAAAAACAAGGGGAAATAGGTTACCTTGCATAATGACTTAACCACTCCCAGTCTCTATTCAAGCCTAAGTTAATTGTATCCAATTTGCAAATGAATTCCAATTCAACAGTTTCTCGCTGGAGTCTGGATTTGTGCTGGAAATGGCCCACCTTGATTATCATACACATTGTAAGGAGAGTGGTCACTTTAGATAAGCTATTACCAGCAGGAGAGTAGGTTTTTGTGGGGGGGGGGGGTGAGAAAATCTGGATTTGTGCTGGAAATGGCCCAACTTGATTTATCATACACATTGTAAGGAGGGTGATCACTTTAGATAAGCTATTACCAGCAGGAGAGTGGGGTGGGAGGAGGTATTTTTTCATGCTTTGTATGTATATAAAAAGATCTTCTACACTTTCCATAGTATGCATCCGATGAAGTGAGTTGTAGCTCACGAAAGCTTATGCTCAAATAAATTGGTTAGTCTCTAAGGTGCCACAAGTACTCCTTTTCTTTTTGCGAATACAGACTAACACGGCTGTTAACTCAGAGAAATAAAAGTAATAAGTGTTTTTTAATTTTGTTGCAGCTTTCTGAATAATGGGTTTTTGTCTCTCCCAGAAGTTCCATTTAAATATCAAATGGTTCTGAAAGTTCTGCCTCTCATCTTAGCATACAGCTGTAACACCAAGATTTTAAAAAATGGGAGTTGCTGGGTAGTCAGTACTCTTGAAAATCAGGTCTCTTATTTAAGTGTTCAGCTTTACTAAGAAGCACAAGTCCCCTTGACTTTCAAAGCCAATGGGACTTATTTCCTTAAGTTACTTAGGCAATTCTGAAAATCCCATCATTATTTTTGAAAGTTTTGTCTTTAAAGGTGCAAGTCCTTTCTAAACAATTTTCTCATACATTTCCACTAATGGCAGAGGTTTGTCTTAATGGTATGATTAGAGCTATACTTTCTCTAATCACCAGTGGTTAAGTGTCAATGACAATACAAAGTATATTTATTTCCACTTTGAGCTGTCCTAATACCACAATTCCACAAATGAAGGAAAGCATACACTTCTTTAAAGCAGTGAAATACACGTGTAGATATTTCCCTCGTGATGAGAGCTGAAATTTGTACTGCTCCTATGACTACAGTTTCAATCTGCCATCTCGGCAGTGTTTTTCTTCAAGAGGCTAAGAAGTGGTGGGGTGGGTGTGTGTATCTGTTTTAATTACTTTCACTACCTTACTGGAATTATCTTTATTTGAAATAGCCACACTGATGACATTGACAAGTGCTGATTTTAGTAATTTTTCTTGTTTTTGATACTCAAA